TGTCTAATCGTTAAAAGTAGAGTTGTCAATTATAACAAAATAATATATACTTCCTAACAATTAGGAAGAAAATGGGTAGTTACAAAAGAATAAAGGCATGATCACAAAAAATATAGGAAAATATTAAGCATTATAAAAAATCATGAAGGAATCAAAAACCTATAAATACAAGCTACTATAAAGGTAAAGAGAACAATTGACACAACAATACAACATAAAAGCAAAACTCTTGAATTGCAAATAGCTCAAAGAGTATTTTCACAAATTATAACACATTTAAAATTTGTTAGGTTGTAGCTAGTAGGCAATGAGTTATATGTATTAATATGTAGATAGTAATTTATAGGTAGTTATATGTAAGTTGGTAGTTAGTTTCTAGTTCTCTACTCATACTTACAACGATCGTCATCTCCAATTCCTTTGAGATTTGTCATGATTGTAGTGTCAAACTGTCAATATGTGCAAGTCTCTTGTTTTTAAATTATAGTACTATAAAGATTGCAATATTATGTTCACAAAGCATTGTTAAAGTTTTAATTTTGTAATTTCTAGATTTCTATTTATATTGTATCTTATATTTCTTAGTGTTTTGATCATTCAATTTTTTCGTTTTTAGTTTAGTGTTGCTGTTGTTGTTTTTTATTACATATTAGCATAAACACTTCAATGCTTGATTCCATACTAAGAGTTTTCAGAACTATTGCAATATGTTTAGTTTATTCATAAAATAAAAATTTAAAAATACCATTAGAATTACCAATAGTATACTTATTGCAATTAACCTAGTTCTTATATATATATATATATATTAGTTGAGGCCGGCCCAAAAAAAAAAAAAAACTCCGCAACACTAGCACATGCATGAGGCAGCTGGTCCCTAGGGAAAACATTTCTATTTTGAGCTAATGTGCTAGGTCCTTGTCTGCAATCCACATTTGCCATTGGTGCATTTACGCCCTACGTGCTTTCTTTTGATCTATTATGACTGCATTAATAATCAGAACTCATAAACAGCTGCTAGCATTTTCCTATGAAGTACTTTGGATTCGCAAAACCATGACCTTACAAAAATTATTTTGGTGATAAACTGATGGCAATATTTGCTTCTTCTGGTACTTGAAAAGTGAAGCTTTGAAACAGTTGGTGCAACTGCCACTACAGCGCAATTGGTTTTTAGTGGCAACTATGAAGAGCTTAGCGGCATTTGCAAATCCACTAGGAACTTTACCAACTTTTTCGTAAATGCATTTATACTGCCCGAGAATAATTAAGCAATGATTACTGCAGTTAGAATAGTCAAGGGAGAAACCACTCACATTATTTGTTTTTTTTTCCAAAACAAATGCAATATAATAAGAAGGAAAAAATAAAAATAAAAGAAAACCTATATAAAATGTCATAGGCTAGTTCATAAATCATAACCCATGACTTGCTAAATCACTATTCTATGTATGGAAAAGATTCCTTTAATTTGATTCCGTGCTTAATTAAGTTGATAAATAACAAATCCAACACAATCTTCCTTAAAGAGAATCTAATCTAATCAACTTGCCCCTGAAATGCGATTCAACATAGGAACTAAAGTAATGGAATCCAATGAGAACAAAAGGTAAAATGGAGTATCAACTTTATATTTAATTTTTGTTGAATTACGGCTGATAAATGATATGCTTATTGCTCAAACTTGCAGTATTGCACTCGTTGGTTATTTATAGTATTATATATGTTAATGAAATTAGGTCACCATGATTGGACCGTAACCTAAATTTATGTTGCTGGACTAACTTAGTGAAAATAACCTGAAACGATTAGTTATCACCATGAGTGGCAAGACGAATTCCATAATATATAGTCAAAATCGATGAGTATTTGAATACTTTTCGTCTCCCTTTTCCTGAATATTGAAAAATAGAGTGATTAAGGGATGGAGATCATCAGAAATGAAATATAATGCAATTGCTTAATTTGTACTCTAGCTAGCAGCAATGGCTTTTTCTTCCATTGTCGCTTTCTTGGTATGAAACATTCCCTTTTGACCCAAAATAATTAGAAAAAGTTATCATGCACAGAAGTTTAAAGGTGGAGCACAATTTGATACTCCAATTCTATTTCTGATTATTGTCACTTCTTTATTTATTAAAAAGCCTAACGAATTTTTAACTATATATAAAGAGATAATCCTCTTTCAACCCTTTAATGCTCACTTTATCCTTTTTCAAGATTTGAATTTGAAACATTCTAATTAAAATTTTAATTTTTAACTACTGATTGAACGTATCCTTTGAGACGTACGATTATCAACAATGGCAACTAAATTTTATCATTATAAATTGTAGCATTCGATTTTTTTATATCAATTCAAACTAGAATATTCTTCCATCACATCCAGTCCCTCTACGTAGGCGCTATTGACTAATGACACCTCTATAAAAGGATCCAAAAATACGGCAAGTCTTTCAACATGTTTTCTTCTGTCTTTTTCGCCCTTTGTAATGGTTAACGAGACGTGCTTTTACAGTTTTACCTGGAAATTCTTCACACAAAAGCCATACAGCATAAGTTGAATCATAATGAATTGTTATTAAATTCCTTCTTGTTTCCCTTTCTGCCAACTTTTCACTTCACTATTACATCACACCCGAATTAGATCCCTAATCTAATTAAAATTATTTCTATGCTCATAACTTACATTTTTATAAGCAAATGTATCAATACCATCTAAGACCCAATAAGAAAAGGTATCCAAAAACCAAATATTTATACCGTGATAGTTAAAACGTAAGGGGAAAAAAAAATAAAAGCAGAGAACAGGAGCCTGCTAAAGCGACCTTAAAATCACTCTTTTTTTCCCTTGATATCCAATGAGCTGGGCCTATCTTGGGTCAGATGTGGGCTAAGTAATCAATAAACATAGGCCGAGGTGGTGACCGACGTGAATTTTGATATGCATGGTGGTCAAAGCTTTTCTCCTGTTCCTAGCTTCAAAATCCTGTCCTATAAATTGCACAATTATGCCTAACCCAAACAAAAATGAGATGGGTAGAGAAGGATTATCGAGATAAACACGCTTGGGGAGGAAAAAGAAAAAATTCACTCTGTACACGCTTTAGAAATAATATTTTTCTTAAAGTAATCTAATAATTTTGCATTAAATTATCAGCCAAAGCAATTCATAATCATGCTAAATTAACCAACTCTACAAATTCTATAAATCCAATCGGGGTATTATTAAAAAAAAAAAAACCCTTACTAGAGAACAGAGACAAGGTCATATGATCCAACAGTATTAGCATGACATTCTGTTAATTGGTGTAATGAAAGGTACACCCTTGTGGGTGCATCAAAAACATGCAAATCCACACAGAGAAGCAGTCCCACGCACAGACAACACAGCACTGCTTATATATGCCCCGCAGTCACGAACTTCCACCCTAATAATAATGCAGGGGTTAATCCACACAGAAGAAAGGAGCTGATGCATCTTCCGTCGCTCTTAAGGCTAGGCAAAGAGAGCTGTAGGGGACCCATTATCTCTTCCCTTCAAAAGAGAGAAATAAAAGAACGAATCAGCCATATTTTGGTGTATGTAGATCCTACTATACAGGTTTCACTTTAACTCCTTTACTTCCAAATTTCTCTACGTACGTTAATTCTTTTATTTTTCAAAAGTCTCAATTAATTCTACTTGTAATAAATAGCTAATAAAAAGTAGGTCACGCCTACATGAAATGGGTACGAGAGATGTGCAATGAAAAAAAATTATGAATACATAACTGTTCGTATGTTATTAATTATATTGATATGATTGTTAAAACATCAATATTTGATAGATTGTCACCTGTCAATTGATATATTATTATTAATACATTGATGTAGTGGTGGAAAGCCAATTTATCTATTTATTTTGTTGTTAGATCATTTAGGGACATAATAATCAATATATATCAAAAGGTTTGTAACTTTTTTTTTTATAAGAGATCACTGATTTAAATATTAATAGATTATTTTTTAAAATTTTTTGGATATGTATATTGGATGTGTGAATTAATATATATATATATATATATATATATATATATATATATATATATATAAAACGTAATAATCAATATATTAACTTGTTAATTTTCATATCATTAAATTTAATTACTTTTGTATTGCAACACTAAATAACTTGCATCATAGGGCATTATCATAACAATTAAAGAATGGCTTTTTTTTTTCAGCTTTTTTCCCATCCTTTTTTTCTTATCTTCTTATCTTTTTTTTTTTTTTTTTTCAAAATATCAAATTCCGTAATAGTTGGAGTTATGTAATTAATAAGGGGATTATAATAAATTTTTTGAAAAATTATGATACTGATATTGATAAATATTGTAGTCAATAAAAGTGAAAGTGATATATACATATATAGTTTACCTAAAAAAAAATGTAGAATTATATGTAGTAGCCAGTAGTGTAAATAAAGGATTAAAAAAAACCGACTACCCACTCCCATCATTTTGTATTCTCTGTCCCTCTCGCTTCCACCCTGGCAGCTATCGTCCGTACCTGTCCCCTTCTTCTCCTTGATTCCCCTCTTACCTGCTACCCCCATCGCCAGTCACTCGCACGTGCCTCCCCACCTGCATATCCCCTCTCACCATAAGTATCAGTACTACTACCCTTCCTATTCCTTCTGCTTTCTGTGGTGCAACAAAATAAAAAGTTAGAGAGAGAGAGAGAGAAAGAAAGAAACTAGTGTGTTGTTGTTATTTAATAAAGCATTTAGCCATTTACTATTTTTTTCTTAATTATTATTATTATTATTTCTGTGTAGTATAGCAAGGAGTACTGGGGTCTTTGCATTCTTTTTATTAATTTTCTCTCTCTATCTCTACATATTTGCAAAATTCTGACCCTTGAAAGATCACTTCTTAGTTGTGGGTTAGTTTGGTTTCTTTGTCTGATCAAATCTTCTTAAGACAAAGAGAGAGATAGCAAAATCTTATCTTGCACCTATGAGGATCAGGAAAAGACAGGTTCCCTTACCTCTATCTTCGCTTTCTCCTGTACCTCTCTCAGATCCCCAGTTCAGCCGGGATCCTGTGGTGCAACTTCAACTACACAACAACCCACTTCAAAATCTACCTCAAGAGCCTCAGAGATTTGCTTGCTTTGATTCCCAGCCATCTGATCAACCAAATCAACCGATCGGAGGTGGAAGTAATGGCCAAGATTGCTCTGATGGTGCTGGAGCACCACAAGAAAATAAGGTAAGCAGTGATTGAAAACTCTGGTAGGTGAAAAAGGAAAAAAAAAAAAAATACTATACCCTTTTTAATATTTCTTGTTTTTGAGTTAATTTGGTTGGTGCTTTAATATAGGAGTGCACTTGTGTTCAATGTGACATAAAAAGGCATTTTGTTGGATTTACCTTTTGTGGTTAATTTTGCACCCCCATAGAGTTGCATTAGACAGTAAGTTTGATTGATTGGATCCTCTATTGTTGTGATTTTATTGTGTAGATTATGTTGGAGAAAGATGAGAGAGGGAGAGAAGGAGAGAGGAGTCATGATACCAGGTAAGAAAGAAGACATAAAGTTAAAAATCCATGTTCTTCTCTTCTTTCATGAAATCTTGTAGTAAAAGAGGGTGAAAAGAGAGAGGCCCGTGTATTAATTTTACCAGAAAAAGAAATAAATAAATAAATAATACTGTAATTACCAAGTAGTGGAAATACTGTTCAAGTGTTTTATTCTTTCTTTTATCAGCTTGGGCTAGCAACCATACCATACCATCTAATCTAATCTATCCTAGGTACTCTCTTTTTTCTATATTTTGGCTAACTAATATGCTAATGCGGTGCATGTTAGCATGGGATGCTGGTCCCCATCTCTAAATATACACATTTTTACTCCACATTTTTGCACTCATTTTTTTCTTACTTGCTACTAGCTAGCGTTTGTTTTCTTTAGCTGTAACTTTCATGTGTGTAGTTGTGGATCTTCTTGGTCTGGTTTTTGGTTTTAGGAAGGGAAGTTTCATGGGTGCAGAAATAGAAACTGTAAATCTTACACCATCAAGTTCCTCCCGTCAAGGTAAAAATCCTATCATGTTCAAGACAACATTGCAATATCCCTAGAGAGTCAACGCCATATAAGGTTTTATTTTTCTCTTTGTTTTGTTGTTGTGTGATTGCACTATAGGAGTTCGGAGATGGGGTGAGGGAGAGAAAGCATTTCCGTTAAAGAAGAGAAGAGGAAGCTTCGAGAGAAGATCAGATGATGATGAAGTAATAATGGAGAAAGATAAGAAAATGAAGACAAAGATGAACAAGAAATGTGTGCAGCAAAAAGCTAATAACAAAGAAGAAGTAGAAAGTAAGGAAATCATCAAAGAGGGTGTTGATGTTACTACCAATAATGCTGCCGATAGTGTCAAAAAGAAAGCTAGAGGTGGTGCACTCATGGAAGGATCAAGGTGCAGTCGTGTAAATGGGAGAGGATGGAGGTGTTGCCAACAAACCCTCGTGGGATACTCGCTTTGTGAGCATCACTTGGGCAAAGGAAGGCTGAGAAGCATGACTAGCGTTCGAAGCCGATCCATGGCTCGCACTGCACCAAAGAAGGCCGCCGAGCCCAAGCCGTTATCAAGCTCCTCGTTGTCATTAGAGGAAAAGGAAAGAAAGCTCCTATCACCCGATGATACGAAACTTGATGGTCATGATCCAGACGAAGATGAAGATGACAAGCAGAAGCCTTTAATGATTGCAAAGAAGAAGGTGAAGCTTGGTATCGTCAAAGCTCGATCAATTAGCAGTTTGTTGGGCCAACCAAAAAATGGGATTGCAGTATCAGAAGACAGCAAGTAGAGGAGCTATAAAGAAGGCAAAATCAGCATCATTTCATGTTCTTGAAACGAAAGATGAGAGTTGAGGTTATGTTGAGTGCCGTTTTAGGTTCCTTCTCTGCAGTTTGAAGCTCCTAATGAAGAACAATATTTAAAAGGATGTTTGATGAAGTGTTTTTCTTATACCATTTTCATTTTAATGCTTATGTAATTGTAAGAATGATGTTTGTTAAAACAAAGGATTACCAATGAACCAAAAAAATGTTTATATCAAATTGTCAGTAGGTGTTTATTTTGGGTTTAATGTATATAATTCCCCGTAAATGCATATTTTAGCTAACAATTTCATATCATATGGGGAACAATTGAGCTGCTGGAATAGAAGTTGAATTCAAAGTACATTGATTAGGATTTAACTCATCCTTATACAGTGATACAATGATAAGTATACATGAAGTCTAACTAGTTACAATGTCTATCTCTAAGTATAATACTATCTTTAGGAGAGTTTGTTGAATACTCTACTGTTGCGCGCTGCCGTGAGGTCTGGAAGTGCAGACTCCTTGTTGCTGCCGTGAGGTCTCTATGTGTAGATTTCTTTTCTAAATCGACTCATGCTTGTCCTTGGCTTAAATAGGAACCAACCCATGGGAGAGTATTCTAGTTTAATTAATAAGATGGTACTGTATAGCTTTTGACCATGGTAATTAAACAGCAGTTGAGCTTTGGATGCATCCGAAGTGGTGGAAATTCTTCATGGAAAAATATATATAACAACGATATTGGACATTGAGTGATTTAAAAGTGGGGAATGCGACATTCTTCGTTTCTGTCCTCATATATCAAATCTAACTATACATACATTTCAGATCTTCGTGCCCCTATTTGATCGAGAACGAGGCAAGAATTAGGATTTAGACTAGTTTCATTTTCTTACCTTAGTTCTTTTAATTATATGTCCGGTATGGTTTATTTAGTACTGGCCGGTTGATACACTAGCTTGCTGTGAGGATTTCCCTCCCTCGCCATTCAATAAAATAAAATAAAAAATAAATAAAAACTCGCTCATCCGACTCTTTTTCTCCATTACTCAAATTCTATTAATTCAATTCGGCGCACCCCAATACATACAGATATATATAGATACATACATATATATATACATATACATATATATATATATATATATATATAAAGAGTAAATGAAGTTAATCTTAAATTATTTATGGTGTAAATAGGACCGATCAGGTTAGATCATATTAATTAACTAATCAGAAAGGGATCAATGCATCCCCTGCCCTACCCGCAATTCAAACAAAGAATCATTTTCGTCCCTACTCCACGTAAGTCATTGGAAAAATTCTCAAAATTTAATGAATATTTATAGTACCTGGCTATATATATAGTCACAGAGAAAAGAACAACAAAAGGGATCTCTATCTTTACAAATCTTTGTTCAGAAGTTTTGGGAAATATTAATTGGTTTTCTCCTTGTCAATACCTTGACTTTTTTACACCGGGTTTTTCTTTTTTCGTTTTAGTTTTCTTGTCCTCCAGTATATGATTAATTAGGAATTTTTTGCATATATAATCTAATTTGTTCTTGTATTTTCAGCTAAAACACATATAAGATCCCTTGTCTAATATAAATATCTAATAGGATAAAAAATCAACATTGCAACTGTTTAAGTTACCTCCAGATTCCACTAGTTCATTGTTACTGTGTGATCATTAAGGTCTCTAAGGATATTATAAATTTTCTATACTGGATAGAATTCTTAGCTTATATATCATGCATGCATGAGCCTGATAAACGTTTGAACAATCTGCTGAACGTTGAACAAGAATCACAATCTGTGAAACATTTAAATTTTTGCAGTAAGAACGTTCTTATATGCAAAGATGGCCTAGCGAGGGAAGCGCTTTCCCAGCTAATTATATGCAAAGATGGCCAAGCGGGGCAAGCGCCTCCATATATATAATCAGTTTTGCCACACAGCTATCTCCAAGGCATTGTCGTCTTGACAATTGATTGTAAAGGGATGGTGGTGTTCCGATTATGTTTAATCCTGTGCAGGCGAGCATTTATTGAAAATTTAACTGTTAGTTAGTGGAATCGAATGTAAATGGAAGCACAGTTGCCCGAAACTGGAGGGTATCTTGCACCGAGTCGCTGAGGACATAATTGCGGATGTATCGGTATTTCTATAGTCTAGGGGGCAGAAGTTGGGTGGTGTGGGGGCAGTGCGGCTGCATGGCATAGACTGTGTGCATGCAATACTTGCTAAATTGATGGTTAAAAAAAATGTCCAGCATTATTTATTTTGTGAACTATATCCAGTGGTGTATTAAATCTCTACAGCAAAGCATAGTCCTTAGTACATCTTATCAACAGTAGTTATCGGAAAGAGCACCAACATGAAACAAATGATGCCACGTGCTAATGATATGATTCCAACCAGAAAATTTAACACAATAGATGAAGTTTTTATTTTTGTTGGTAATAGTAATTAAATATAGGGTACGTATTTTTATATGTTTAATTACACAAGCATATAGAAGTTGAAGCATGTGTATTAATTAGGATTTGAGTATGTTAAAGAATTTATTCCCTATCAAATAAATCAATGATGAATGAATGAATAATATACTGAGAAATGATCATATATTACAAAATTTAAATTTTTTTAAATGGAATTAAATTTCAACTATAAAATTTAATGTAAGTAAAAATTTTTAATTTGGTATATATGTATATTCTAAATTTTTAATCCTAGAGCCTTGCTCTAATTTGAATAAAAAAGAAAAAAAAGTATAAGCTAGTTTTCTTGATATTTTAACTCTGCTTGAGACTTCATGGATTTTATGTAGATAATACGTTTGCTATATGTAGAATCAAGTAATTAATCACGAATTATATAGTCTGACACACAGCTTTGCCCAATCGTATTTCAGTTTTCTATTTTTTGTAATTTTGTAGAAATCATATCATTACATTTGAACGAGAAGAGAGGAAAAAAAAGTTTAATTCAAAAGGTGAATTTTTTTTTTTTTTATTGTAATACAAAAGGTGCTCAGTTTAAATATACGAGATAGCATTTAAAGTGTTTATAGGAGGAAAGATATCAGAGATTTTTTAAATTCAAAGTTTCAGATAACGCTGTGTAATTATCAATATGTATAATTCAGAACTACATATATAAATTATTACTGGAGCCTAGTTATGTGTACATCATCCAAAATTAAAATTAACAATTCTGTGTTTACTGATTAGGACCCCAGACTTATCAGCTCCTTAATTTGTCTTCATCGTCACTATATCATATATAGTGCATGATTATGTTTTTCCATTCTCCCATTTTACTGGTTACGGTTGTTTCCACTAAGACTGTAGTCTATACAAGAAATTAACGACTCAGAACTGTATATTTGTTTTAAGAGTTGAATCTTGGTTTCTCTTCTAGCCATTTTAAGATCATGCGTGATCACATCAATAGATAGATGATCATAAATTTGCTAATGATTAATTTCCATCAGATCCCATTTTTAATCCAACTCCAGATAATTACATTTTATGCAAATCTTTGCTTCATACGAAATATTCAGTTTATGTCATAATCAAGTTTCACTAAGATTGTCTTCTACAGTACGGCGCTTGGTGGCAAGCTAAGTTAAAATCAACTTAATGTCTGTCTGCCAATTAGTTGTAATAATGTTGAGTGCTGGCGAAGAATACTTTTGTATATCCATTTGAAATTAGTGTCCCGGACATGCATGGGCCCTAGCAAAATTAATGCCATATAGGATTGTTTTTGCACAATTGTGTGTGTGTTTTTTCGGTAAAAAGGTAGATGTTCAGCTTATATATGTACAATGGGCATGAACATGACTTAAAAGCTAGCATAGAAAACAAAGTAAATTGCTAGTGAATCCATGCTTAATTCATACCGAGAGCCTTGCTTAGTGCATTCAGGCATTTATGTGTTTAGATGTGTAGAAGTCAGCATTGCAGTTGAGCAGTTGTTTTCTCATCCCATGGATTACAGGTTTCTATCGCACAAAGGAAAGACTAGCTATGTACACATGGTAAATTAAGACTCAACAACCTTCTCTTAATCCACCGATTAAACGCACTAATATATATGTATATATATATATACACGGTAAAATCCTTTGCAATATTGATTTTTTGTTGTATTACGTTAAATTTGTAGTTTCAGAAGGACAATTGAATCATTATATATTTGATAAAGTTAGTACTCTCTCCTTTCAGTTTTGTTAGAACATTTAAGTCAAGTCAAATTATTAGTTATGAAGGAGAAGTGAAATATACTAACTGACTAAATTTTTATCTAAATTTTGATCGTTAACCATAAATTGATAATAAAATTGGACAGAGTACTAACTCGGTCCTGAAATTAAAATTAAAATCTCGAGAATCTAATTGTCATTTTTTAAGCATATAGGAGTTAATCAATGTGATTGAATCATCGAATAACAAGGACCTTCCTTCTTATGCTTTTTTTTTTTTTTCCAAGGGTAAACTCTCATAACCTGAATACCCTTCAGTTACACTTTTTTTTATTATTTTCCCTATAGTGCAAATATGATTCATGGAAATAACTAGGTTTTCCCTCTCAAATCCCTCTCATCCACAGGTATCATGTTTAGACTACTTTATAACTAAGGATTTTATAGGAATGCACTAGCAATAAGAAAGTAGCCTGCAGGCTACATATACCACAAGCGGCACTAAGCGATAGCTTTATTGAAATCCACATACCCAGTTTGAGTATCTATTTTAGTTGAACTTTCCCAAAATTTTGTGGTTTGAATTGTCAAAATAGTTGCTTTTGTGCCTCGGCCATTAAATGTGACAGAGATCTTTCACGATGGAGACCTCCGAGATAGAGACCATAGCCAAACCCATTTCCACAAATTGAAATACTGATCACCTCAACCTAGTTGGCTAGGTAGATGCAACTTAAGCCGAATACAGATAAAAATTGTGCAATTACGCAGTAAGATATGCATAAATAATTGATGAAAAACTGCAGTTTTAGATAAGGCAAGAACTGCATAAGCAATCAATGAAAACAAACACTGCTCTTAAAACAAGGAAGTATTTAGACACACTATTGCAAATATAATATATATGCCAGACGACGACAACAGAATTGTTATAATCTTTTTTTCTTTTTTTCAACTGTGACAAGATATTCTGATTCCCATTATATATATATGCGTGACACTATTTAATCTAATTTAATTGTTCCTTGATCAATTGAATTAATTACCAAGAAACTTTGTTGTCAATTACTTGGCGTGGGGTGCACCGGCCAGTGCGGTGGGGTGGTGTCACCAATTGTAAAGCCAGGGCCGGGTCCCAACAGCTAGCTATTGTGGGCATCTTTACCCACTATGATATCCAAAATCAATGTCATGTGGCCAGGTAATTAACCTACTGTGCCAATTGGATATCAATAAGCTGATATATATATATATATATATATATATATATATATATATATATATATAGTTAAACACACACATCCTTCTTCACGTATAGCCGAAAGGCCAAGACTGGAATTAATGAGTTTTTTATGCTCACAGGTCTCTTTATGTATATGTATGTATACCAGGCCAGTAGAGGGTACAAAACTTTACAACCAAGGGATATTTATATTAAAGACTAATATAAATTATATTTTAAGGCTTCATATATCAGCTTAAGTTTTTAGGTGAGGTGGTTCTTTAATCCTAGTATCGTAGCTTGGTTGACCAAGAAAACTTGGGTTCAAGTCTCACGATCTTCAATTTCTCAAGTATTAAGCACTAAGTAATGTGAACCTATATAAGTTTCAAGCTCAAATGTTAAAACTTTCATTTAAGGATGTGTTTTAAAGACTAATATAAATTATATTCTGAAATCTTATATATCAGCTTAATCTTTTAAGTAACATGGTTCTTTAATAACTTAAGAGGTTAGTGTGGAGCCAGCCTGGATATCACAGAAGGTACAAACACAACTGAAATGGACATTGGTCCGTTAATCATGATTAAAACCATAATCATTTGATGATTGATTCAACTTTAGCCCAATTGTGGACCTTTGTGCTTGAAAGCTGTCTTGCTAAACAGTATGTATTCACCTATTATTATCTTCATTTTGCAGTACAAAACCCTTCGAGTCTCTACTTAAGCCAAATATATATATATATATATATCGATCGAGAGAGAGAGAGAGAGAGAGAATTGTGGTGGGAGGGACTCGCATTTCGAAACCACATCATTGGAAAATTCCCTGACCCTATTCTATGACTTCCCGTTCAGAGCATTGGATATAATTTCGTCAACAAAGGGTTTGCCTGCTGACAACATTAAAATAACATGTTCCATAATACTTTACTTATCCTGTATAATAAGCAGTAAGAACTGCTTAAATAAAACAAGAAAGTACAGAGTTAGTATAGTGAATACAAAGACTAGTACTCAAGTCTTTGCAAGGTGACGCAATAGGTGATGTATACTTGTGCTGTGTGCATGATAGTCTAGGCTGCACTTGCACTTGGCATGAGTAATTTGTTTATGGTTCCACGAGGAAGGTCTGCTCTATTGAATTAATGCACCCTCCGCCGACCCCGATGCGTTAAGATTCCTTCAATAAATTAACCACATCAGACAAGTTTCGCCTCTAAAACTCTAACAAAAGTTAGAAGTTTTTGAGTGCCCATGATCGAGCTATATCTCCATAGCATTACCTACCTTGCTGTTTGGAATCAATACCTTTTCTCCGATAGGCCAGGTGAAATTCATTTAACAGGCAGGTGAAAAAGATTACAAATAAGCCTGGAAGGACTAGAGCGTCTCTGATCCTTTCTGGCTTGTTGGGATTGTGCTCCAAAACATATATACTCAAGTCAGGAGTCCGAGGTCGGTGAGAGAGAAAGTTGGAATCAATACTTGTTCTGGTGAAACTATTGGGATCACTCCTTTTTTCGGTTCGAACAGTTTTTTCCATTGACGAGGGAGTTTTTGCCTCACCAATAATAAATCGGGAACAAGTCCCAGCCCAGACGAATAAATTCCGAAGTTGCCTAGCTTTTTATGACTCAAACTGGGAATGTAGCTAGGTGAGGTGTGAGTACTACCAAGTACCAACCCCATCTCCTGTACTACGATTTGCGATGCTTGTATTCGGCCACTCTATGGGACTTCTTTTTAACAATTACTCAACTGATAAAAAACACAAAAACATAAACTGAGTAACGGAATGGAATTATAAAAAACTTTTGATCAATGAGAAAAGTTGCATGTTGGACTTGTTTTCATTCGATTCATCCTTAAGTTTACAGTGGTTTCATCCATAAAAGAATTTCCTCCTTGTTTTCCCACCTCTCCAGAGTGTAATTTCATCAAAGAACTTGCATATTATGGCAATCAGATGATATATATATACCAGTTATAAGAGATCCAAGCAAAAAGTGTTCTAAACTTGAACCACCATGGAGACAGCTTCTCCGTATAAGTTTGCGTCTTTTACTGAGGAAAAGGAAAGCACCGGTCCCTTGAAGCTATAAAGCGGCTCGTTGCTCGCATACCGTCCAACAAAATGAAAAAGATTTTATCCATACTTGCTCCTTGTATTTTATGAATTATTTTAATTAAAATATTGTATTTGTTTTTCCATATTGATTGTCCTTCCATTTTACATTTTGTTTTATTACTATTTCTTAGTTATGACGCCGTTAGTTTACAATCCCCCATGTGTCATGTTACTGTAAAATACTAACCATGTTTAAGCAATATTGTGAGATCCACCCACCGCACACTAAAACGGTTAAAACATTTAAAATAAAAGAAAAAAATACACGTGAAAAAGAAGAAAAATATAAAAAAATAATTAAATAAATTTAAATACAAATATACTGAATTCATATTTATGTTTTATGAATGCATTAAATTTAAAAGTACATAAATATAAAATAAAAATCATCCAACAAATCCCTCCTCCTCCTTCGATCAGAAAAACCATTAGCCATCATGGAGAACAAAACCGTCTCCTCTCTCAAAGCAACCATCCCTACCACCATCATCAAGCCGGCCCTCCACCACCGTCAAGCCCATTCTCCACCGTCATTAAACCTAGATACTGTTGCCAAATCAGCCATCAAACACCAACAAATCCACAACCCACCACCATTTTTCTACATCGCCTCTTACTTCGAAAATCAAGTTAAAAAAAAAAAAAAAGCATCCAAGGTCCAACAAAACAAACCTGGATGAGTCAATCTTCACTTAATGAGTTAAATTCGATGATGGATTTTGTGTTGGTTTTGGGGCTGAATTTTCACTCTATTGATCATCGGTCAATCATTCTCTCCATTGTCCAATGACAGATGGTGTATAATGCGATTGTGGAAATTTTTTATGGATTTTTATTCTTTTGTTAGTAGAGGAATTTTTTGTGGATTTTAAACGAGATGGGTTGTGATTGTTGGTGTTTTGGATGGGGAATTTGGGTTGTTGTATGTTACCTTTAAATTCTGTCACTGCAAGAAAATAAAATAAGAATAAAAAACTTCAATAGATACACAAATAAATAATAACGAAGAACTTGAGACACAATAAAGCTTGAGAGCAGTGAAAAAGAAAGGGGCACAAATTTCAAGAACTTATTGTCAAAACTAATTAAAGTTCCACATGCTTGCTATTGATATTATCTTAAATAATGTAGCTGAAAAAAGGAAAAAAAAAATTGGTTCATTTTCATGGAAATTAAAAGATGCTCCATTCTTGGCATCTTTCTGGGCCATGCTAGAGCCGATTGACAGTGAAGGAAATACTAACAGGAGAAAGAACTGAGAATTTACAACCTTTAAAAGAATTTTCACATGTCCTCCTATTATTTTTCTTCCAACTTCTATTTATTAAGGCCGAGCACGTGTGGCTGAGATTGGCCCCAATCTTGAGGGCCAACGGGAACGGGGACACTGGTTGGAACAACGCCAGGGTGGAAATATGAATTAATTGGCTGTGGGTCCTTCTGGACCTGCCAAGTTTTGCTATATTTGTTTATATTTTTTTTAATGTATTTAGGGTTATTTATTTTACCACATGTAGTAATTAAGTTATCCGATCCTAGATCGTTAGCTTTTTCTGGGTCTATCAATTGGTCGTTTGGTAGTTCGATATCATAAAAGAATTGTTTGTTTTAAAAAAATAAAAACTGACGATATGTTATCAAAATTTTTGAAAGCCCAAAAAAAATTATAATAATAACTAAAAACAAATAAATAAGTTTATATTTCTATTTTCAAAATTTTTTTTTAAAAAAAAAAGTCGAAAACTGTAAATAATTAATAACAATCTGCTCCAAAAATATATTATTTTAGTTGAGATTCAAATTTGGACTTGAGTCCCTGTCCTTCTTGCGTTTTTGAATAATTGCAAACAATTAAGACAATGTAAGCAAATATATGTGATAATATAGGAAAGTATTAAATAATCACTCAACTTATGAGTTAATTATATACACTTACGCTCACATATACTTAAATCGCTTTTTTTTTTTTTTAATAGGATTATGTGTTTCTTTTTGGATATAATTCAATTGTAACATTGACCTTAATTTGTGCTTGGATCAGAACCTAATATACAGACAAAATTTATTTATACTGTTATTTTATGCTTATTTTTGTTAAATCTACGATATTGATGCGAAAGATACATTATTAAAATTATTTGAAAAAAAAATATGATTTATATATAAATTAATTCAAAAAAATATATATCATTACCGTTTTTTTTTTTTTTAAGAAAAAAAACCATTTTCATGCCATTTACTAGTTCCTTCCTCGTCCGTTTTGCTACTAGGCACTAGCTAGCCATCAAAGGGCGCCCATCGGCCATCAACGAAACAAATCCTTCTTGAAAAGTAAATTAAAAGGCCCGATTTTTGCCAGGATTATAGGATCCCGGTAACACATCCATTCAAATAGGTAGAAAAATATTTTTAGCCGCGGTTGAATATCACCATTATGAAAAGACAGTGACAGAGAGATTTTGGAATTTGACAGCATGCTCATTGTAGTGATCAACCATAATTTTGGTTCTTTGTTGCTCATCAACAGGTTAATCTATTCAAATGCTCTCTAAATTACAAGTTGTGTTGATTGACATCTTTTAAATAATTGTTTTCTTATCAAATAACGTGAGTTGCCCATGTTTTCTCATAGAATATAAAAAAATCATAAAAATGAGTCAAAACAATATTAAAAAATCAATCCTTATCAATTGATTGAAACATATACAATATGATAAAATTATTATCAAAAACACGTTTAATAAAAGATAGTTTCAACCATCTTTTTACTCTCATCGAAAGTGTATATGACACATTTGTTATTCACGTCAATCCACTTATGTGTCTCATAAAAAAGATACATATTAGTTGGGTGGGCCTAAAATCTTAATAATAGAGTTGCCTTATTTGTCAAATAGGCCACCCTTCAGAAAGAATTTGAAAGATCTCATACTTTGGAGCTTCCTAGCTCAAAAAATATGTTATTCTATTTGAAAATAAGAGATTTAATGAGAAATACTCAATGATAACATCAATTCGATAATTAGATATAGAAAGAACATTACAACCGACTCCCATCATTGTCTATACAAAAGTAAGAATTCCTACAAAATAGGGTAAGTTGGAACTTATGAATACTTCACCAAAACAAGTCTAACAAAAAATACTATCGACACTATCTTATTCCATATATCTTTTATATTTTCAGCTAAACTACATACAAACTAATATATACAAGCATATAAGAGTTTTTTTAGACTAATTCGCTATCTTCTAACCGCTAACTTGGATGTCGAAGGTCTTTCACCTAACCGGAAAGACTTGTTTTGTAGGTACATTGTATGAGGGGGTTTTTGTCCATGCTCGCCCATCGTCATTTGTCGCCATGAACTATGTATCTTCAATTGGCTAGTTTAATCAAATGATGACTTATCGCCTAGTGTCATCTATGAGTATCTAAGTAAAAAACTAGTCAAGTCCTTTATATCTCTATTTTTTTTTTTATTCTTCAAGTTCATGTATGGAAGAACAAATGAAAGTTCTTAGTCGGACTACTCCTTCAAACATCATCGACTCTAATGCTTAGCCTCGCAATTGTCTGTCTAATTACAATAAAGCATGCAAAAGCTATCTAGCATACTCCTAATAGCCCAAGTGTAGATGAACATGCCGATATCGTCAATGGTGAAACATCAACGACATTTTTGACTTGAGACAAACCATAAATTATCTTCTCTTGAAATAAAATTAGCTAAGAATAAAGATTTTGATGTAGACGAATGTCATTAAGAATAAATCGATAGCCATAGTTTTAGAAAAAGTTGAAGAGGTGATAGCTCGGGGTCATATTCAAAATGGTCTTGAAATGTCTCCCATAGATAGACTTTTATTTTAGATATAGGGAAGTAGACTATAATCAAGTCATTGCTCATTGTCCATCTCTTAGTCGTAAAACTTATAAAGGAATTCTCCTTTTTGTAGCCATACCTAGGAACGTACAATGACCAAGCAAACCCTTAGTATCACATACAAAATGTCAAAAAGGCATTTCAAGCTTGTAACCTTATGCGGACATCTTGTATTGAATTCTACTAACTACCTTCGGGGGTTAGCTTAAAGATAACATAGTCGCTCGAATCCCAACTCTATAAACAACCCAAAAGATTTATCCTCATAATTGGTGATATGTTTCTCTCTCAACACTTTCTAAAGGTGAAAACCTCCGACACTTTTTTAATTATTTAAAAGGAAAATAAAAATGTAAAGATGTGTATCTCTTGGTTTCACAAAGAAATGTTGAAAGTTGATGAGCTCGATGAACTCGTCACCATCGAGGCCTTCATAACTAGAATTTGAGACATGTATTTATAGAAAAAAACCTTATGTGCTTATCAAAAATGACATGTCTAGGGACGATTATTAATGCTGATGCCGGGATAGAAAAAGGTAAGAGAGTTTGTACCCAATATCCCTTAAGATTGCGTAGGGAAGTTAATAAGGGGAAATGGCCAATACCTTGATCTCTAGTTGATGTCATTGATCCCATTAAGAGCTATTTATTCTAAATTATACTCGTTCATTTAAGATGAGAACTATGTCTTATATCTTCATCCTATGAAGATCGCTTTCGACTTAAAAATATAAGGAAGTATTGTCATTTTCATAAAAATCAAAGACATGACACTAAAGCTTGCTTTATATGGAGAAATGCGATGGAATGCTTGACTTTCAAATACCGCCTCAAGCAATTCACGTATAAGAAAGCCAACAATGCTCATGAAATGAATCTTAAAAAAGACTATGATGTTTCCTAGGTAATCCGGGCATCAAATAGTACATCTCCCATGAAAGCCTCCCATCAACACCGGGACAAACCTCCTTATGGTGATAAACAATCCGGCTTGGAACCTTTTTTAATGATTTTCTCATGCAAAAGATTCAAAAGGGATAACCATCCCTCGTGAGGATGCCTTAGTTATCTATGTAGCTATCTATAATAAGCCAACACAAAAAATCACGATGGATGATGAGAGTGTTGCAAACATCCTATCACAAAAGGCTTTTAACATCATGAAAGGAGACTTTTTCGTGCTCCATCTATAAAAACTCCTTGGTTTAAATATAATAAAAGGAGATACCTATCACGAGGAAATTGACATGCCGATAACTTTAGGGATACATTTCCACACCAAAACACTCTAACAAACCTTCATGGTCACTCCTACCATGGTAAACTACGACACTATACGAGAAAGGTCGTTATTATACAAAATTAGTATCATCATCGGTACTAACTCGTCAAATCATTAAAATTCTCTACGAATGAAGGTGTAATTATGATAAAAGGAAACCAAGTCACCTTTTCTAAATGTGCCTCCTTTAGCATAAAAGAAAGAAACCTATAATGCTTGAAGATTTGAGACCTTAATCAAAGAACAAAGAAAAGTAAACGAAGCAAGTAGAGGACTTACATCTTGTCCCCTTAAAAGAGAAAAACCCTTACTCATCGACAAATATAAGATCTACAATATTACCTAATTAAGAAGAACATCTAGCAAAACACTTGAGAGAACAAAATGATAATTTCACCTTTTATCTAGCAAACATACCAAAGATAAGCTCGGATGTGGCATTTCATCATCTAAATATAGACCCATTTTTTCCTCTAGTATAGTAGAAAAAATTCAATTTGGAGGGGCAAGTGCGGGGAGCAATCTTTAAGAAGGCCGATAAACTTCTACAAACGAAGTTTATAAGAGAAGAAATAGTTGGTTGATGTAGTCATGGTAAGAAATCAAAAGGTTGATAAGAACCCTTTTTGAAAATTCAAAGGGTTGCCAATAGGTCACGTTGTTGCACTCCTCCACATAACAACCGACGAACCATTCCCTCTCTAGATAAACAAGGCAATAATGACTCCTTATAGTTGAAAAAGCAACAATAATAGATGAAAACAAGTTTTTTTCCATAAATATGACGGAATTAAGGGGGCAACTCGTATACTTGAGAAAAATAGTAAGACACGTCAATAATTTCACATGTTTCTTAGGAAAGACATCAAATACATTATAGAAAAGGCCTAAAGATGAAGATGAATATGCATTTAATAAAGGCACGTTCCAACCACCTTTATAGTCCCATCAACAATGAACAAAATACATTTTTTATACACACAACCCACAAACATGTCTCACTAACAAAGTATGGATTGGTCGGATAGGCCTAAAACCCTAAGAATAGGGTTCCCCTATATGTCAAATGGGCTACCTCCCTAAGAAGACTTTAGAAGACCTCATACTCTAAGGGCCCCGATTTGAAAAGATATTATTTCATTCGGAGACAAAGCATTTAACGAGTAATCCCTAATGATGACATCAATTAGATTGTCAACTATCATAATCGCACTATCATAGTCATAAAATCAAATACAATGATGGCGTAACATTAATACCTATCAACACTTTCATTAACCATAAAGGAAAGGACATTTTTGTCCTTTCTACCGTACAAGTGGCTCTCACCACTGTCTATATAAAGGAAAGAATTCTTATAAAAGATGTCATGTTGGATAAAAAATACTTTCCATGCAGCCTTATTCCATATATCTTTTACATTTTTAGCTAAAGTACATATAAACTAGTACATACCGGCATATAAGAGTGTTTTATGAATTCTTTATAAAATAACCTACAATGGGTTGGACAAAAAATACTCTATGTAGCCTTATTCCATATATCTTTTACATTTTTAGCTAAACTACATATAAACCAAGTACATATTATCATATAAAAGTCTTTTATACTAATTCGTCATCTTGTGACTACTAACTCGAGCGTTGATGGGTCCCTCCACCTAATCAAAGGGTCTATTTAGTAGGTATACTACGTAAAGGGATTTAAATTCACACTCTACAAATGCTCGCCAACCGCAATCTACCACTCGTTAACAAAGTGTTTTAACTTTGTTATAATGAGTCCAACAAAGGCTCATTGCAAGGCAATATGATATCGATACATGCGCGAACAAATATTTTTTTTCTTTTCTTTTCTTTTTTAGGAAACCTAGCTTTTGGGGTTATTATTGTTTATTATAAAGAGGCATTAATGAATTGTCATGGAATTATATTTTAAACTTTTCATAAATTTTTTATAGGTTATTTAATATAGTTTTATTTTTTATTTCCAAATTTTTGAAAATAAAAACATAAAATTCGTTTGTTTTTCATTTCAACTCATTGTAAAAGAAAAAAAATCTTTTAAATCAAATACTTCCCATGTCTCAAAGAAATTATTTTATATATATATATTTATATCTATCTTAAAATATTTGTCTATTCAAAATTTTTAATAATGTATTTTTTAAATATTTTCATTTTGTAATGCATAATTAAATTAGATAGATTTTCTCATTCAACAAAAAAAAAAAATGTTAGAAAATGCTAATACAACATTATAATTAATAAGTTTCTTAACGTATATGAAAAGTCAAAGGAAATTATTAATTTTGGACAGAAGGAGTAATATGATTTTCAAAAATTGTGGAGTTAGTATTTTTCTTCAACTAAAAAAATCCAAAGCAAACAAATTTTATATCTTTGTTTTCATGAATTTTAAAAATAAAAAATCCTTTAAATTTCATGCAAATATTCCGTTGGACTTAATTTTATTATGAAAAATTATAATGTGGAAAGAATAAAAAAAGAAAAGAAAAGAAAACAAACTGGCGCAATACAAGGCCCTATTATAGGAGGCCTGAGCCACCCAAACCCAAGCTAGCTAGGAAGCACCAACTTATTCAGGTTTTTTTTTTCTTTTTTTAAGAAGGGAAATGAAGTCTATTTCACATCGAAAGAAATATTTCTTTTCGAAGCGTTTATAAAGATGAATTTTACTATATAGATATTTATATTATAAAAAAATTGGCACTTAAGACTAAAATTACTAGTAATTTTTTTTCAATTTACTTTTTAATTTTTAAAATTAATTTATTAACAGATGTAACAGTTGTAATTAAATTGAATAACGGTGATTTAGTTTAATTCAAAAGTTGAATTGTTTTATTAATAGTCGTATAGTTCATTAAATTATTTTTATTAGATATAAAGATGTACACATCAAGCATATTTTTCTTTTTGTCTTATTCTTTTAGAGAATTTAGAGATTTAATTGTATCATAAAAGTGTTGTTTCTATGTGACAAACAAACATTTTAAAAAATAATATTTCTCAAACGTCTAAACTAACTATTTTTGTCCAGCAAGTTTTCCATGGCTGAGAAAAGATTGAAAGGATACTCTACGCTCCAGAGATCAATCACTAGCATCGGAGAATGGCCCTGGCCCCGGCCCCCTAGCAAGCTAAAAATGGATCCTAGCTTGAATGCTCTTAGGTTGACTTACAGTTACGGATACAGTACGATAAAAGTGTCTACCTACATGGACTACGGTGTATGATTAATTGATTTCGAATAACAAATTATGGCAAGCGAAAATTGTTATGCATATAAATCATTACAGTGAACTAACTAGGTTTATGAAAGAGCACTCCAGCACATGTATTGTATTTTGGGTTTTCGGAAAGCAGTTTTATGAATTGAAATGAATTCAACAGGTATTTGCAATTCTCTTAATTTAATTGTTTTTAGTGACCTGTTGATTTTCATTTTGCCTTCGAACAAACTTGTCAAATTGTGTTTGAGATATTGACAGTAAATAAAATCAATATTAATTCCAAAAAGCAATATATATATATATATATATATATATATATATAATCAAGAAAGCACATGAACTTATTAATTATTGTCATATATAGTTTTCTTGGTCAACAGATGCACAGTATATGAACAATTAAACTAGAGGTACTACCCCCACTTAATACAATTAAAATATACATTTTTGCCAGTAAAATCTGACTTAAACTGAAAATAAACTCCATATGATCTACTTCATCTTCATTAGAGTGTGTGTATATATATATATATATCAAACCCATCACTCATATCATACAAAAGCATTAAACAAAGATAAAGAAGACTTGTTCTTCAACCAAAAAAAAAAAAAAAAAGATTAAAGCAGCACAACAGAAACTAAACACTTTATCAAGCATTTATCCTTCTTTCTGTTCTTTCATTAAGGCCCTCGAAAAAAAAAAAAAAAACAACAACAACAACTTGCGCTACACTTGCACTAGGTAGAACTCGAGACAATCTTGAGGTTTTCCCTACTCATTATGCTCAGGCGCCACTCCACTTGCATTATTTGCTTGGCCCAACAAGCTGCTCATTGATCGAGCTTTTACCATACCAAGCCTTATTTTCCTCCTTGAGACCATCAATGGCTTCTCCTTATCATCTTCATCTTCATTATATGCACCGCTAACTTTATCATCTAAAGAAGCCTCCTTGCTCTCTTCTTTCTTCAACGATAATAATGAAGGGCTCGATAATGCCTGGGACTGATCATCCTTCCTTGATACATTAGTAGCCATGGATCGGCTTCGAACACTATTCATACTTCTTAGCCTTCCTTTACCCAAATGATGTTCGCAAAGAGAGTATCCTACAAGGGTTTGCTGACAACACCTCCATCCTCTCCCATTGACACGACTGCACCGTGATCCCTCCAATAGTGCACCACCCCTAGCCTTCGTTTTCCCACCGGAAATAGCACCTTCCTTTGTTTCCTTCTCATCTTCTTCATTGTCAACATTCTGTTGCACATATTTCTTGTTCACCATTGTCTTCATTTTGGTTTTCATTTTCTTATTTCTCTCCACTATCGTTTCTTCATTCGATCTCCTTTCAAAGCTCCCTCTTCTCTTCTTTAATGGAAATGTCTTCTCTCCCTCACCCCATCTCCCAACTCCTATAGTGCAATCAAACAACAATATAACGCTAACAACAATATTTTTCTGTGTACTTTTTTTTGAAATGGGTTTCGAACATAACCTTTACCTTGATGGAAAGAACTGGACTGTTGAAGAACTGTAACGTGCACTCCTTCACTCAAGAAACTTCCCTTCCTGAAAATAAACCAAACAGAAATCCAAATCCACATAATTTACAGCGATAAGAAAAACGAAGAGAAACCAGTAAAATAAAATGAGTGCAAAAATAGAGGAAGATGTGTTTGCATATATTGTGGATGGGGACCAGCCGCGACGACCCATGCTAACGTGCACCTCATGGGCATATTAGCTTAAGCCAAAATAGAGAGGCTAAATGGATTAGATTAGATGGGAGAAGTTATGGTGGCTAGCCAAAGTTCATATAAAAACACTTACAAACAGTATTTCCATTTACAGTATTTTTTATTTTCTTTTCTGTAGCCAAAAATCAATTCATAGGTCTCCTTCTTTTCACCTTTTTCACTCCAAGATTTCATGAAAGTAGAGAAGAACATGGATTTAACTTTTTTCACTACTTTCTTACCTGGTATCATGACTCTTCCCTCCTACTTCTCCTCCTTTAATCTCGTCTCCCTCTTGCAGCAAAACCTACAACAAAATCACAAGAACTATTGATCTCATAAAATCATAATGTAACCTTGATGGGTGCAAATTGACCGCATAAAAAGTAGATCCAACAAAATTGACTCTTCTAGTCACATTGAACCCAAGTGCACTCTCATGTATAAACACCCCACTAAACTTAGATAAAAGGGCTGAAGTAATTTCTTAACTAGCCAAATTACAGTCAGTATAACTGCTTACCTTCTTCTCTTCTTGTGGCCAAGCACCACGGGAGCAATCATCATAACCTCTACTTCCACCTCCGATCGGTTGATTTGGTCGATCAGAAGGCAGTTGAAGATCAAAGTATTCATCTTTTCTAGTTTCTTGAAAGAGATTTTGATGTGAGCTGTTGTGTAATTGAAGTTGCACCACCGGAGACCGGCTAAACTGGGGATCTGAGAGAGGTATGGGAGAAAGAGATGAAAGAGGCAAAGGAACCCTTCTGTTTCTAATCCTCATCGGTGCAAGAAAAGAAAGATTTGATTCTGGAAAGAGAGAGAGGCCAACAAAAAATATAAATATATATAACTCAAAGAAGTAGAAAGTAGTGATCTTTGAAGGTCAGATTTCACACATAAAAACTTAGAGAAAGAGAGTGCAAAACTACCCATAAATACCGATACAACATAAATAATAAATAAAAACAAGACCAAGAAAATGAAAAATTTTATTATTATGCTATGCTTTAATAACACAACAACACCCTCTCTTTGTCTTTCTTTCCATGTCTCTCTCTTTGTATATTTCCCTACTTTCTCTCTCCAACTTTTATTCGTTGCACCACGGAAAGGTTAGGAATAGGAATAGTAGTATCTTTGTGTATATGGAGGTCATGTTTGCACGTGTGGATCACAGGGGTCACGTGTGGGTGACTGGTTGAAGGGGTGGCCAGTAAGAAGGAAGAAGGAGACAGGGTAGTGACGAGGATTGCCAGGGTGGAATGAGAGAGATAGAGAGAAAGAAAGTAGAGAACACAAAATGATGGGAGTGGGTAGTAAGTAGTTTTACCGTTTATACTTTTTAGAAGAGAGAGTAAGAGAGGGTCCCTCCATCACCCACATGCCACAGAGGAGGTCCATATTAACAACGACCAAGATTCCTTCTCCTCTGCCCTCTGTTTCACTTGTTAGTGCTCTGAGGTAAGTAGCGAGAATCCAAATTTTCCATTGCCATTTTCGGAGAATTATTTTACACCAAACCAATCGGCCAACAACAAAACCAATAATAATATTTCAGTCCATTGTATCCATCAACCAATCACCTAGTTTTGATTCATGTGAAAATAACATATTATGATATCATAATTACATTATTTTGGTGTTATGCTTGATTTTATCTTTCATATATATGTGTGTGTGTGTGTGTCTTTCTAGAATAGATGTAGAAATTCGGAGATGAAAACAAGAAAATATAGTGTTTGGTTGCCTGTTTTTAAGCTGATTATTACCTCTACTATAATACTTGTATGGATTTTGACAATTTACCTCTAAGATTCAACTTTGCATCCAAGAAATTATAGACAACACTCATGAAATTCCTTCAAAAGAATTTCTCTTGAAGTTATAGAATTTTATAAAGAGAAGAGTTTTAAAAGGAGGAGGAGGAGGAGGATTGCGGAAGAAAGAATTAATCATTTTCTAAGCGAGTAATCCTCTATTTATAGATTACTGGAAACCTTTCATAACCAATATGATTGTTGAAAAACTAATTTGATTTAATGTCTAACTCGTTACTTTTTAACTATCACAATCCAATAATCATGTTCTTTTCTTTGAAATTAATTAACTATCACAAACATAATTAATTAATTATGAATTTAATTTAATAAAAAAGAAAAATAAATCCAAAATTAATTAATTACACGTCATATATAACCCATTATCTTCCCTCCACCAATTTGAGTTTCCTCCAAATCCTTCAAATTGAAAATCTTTACAAAAGGTCTACTTATAAAGTGTATCTTCTTTTCTTTCCTTTCCAACGTGGGATAAACATCCCACGTGAAAACACTTTTTCACCACCCTTAATTTATTATCTATCTAGGCTAAGTTTTTCTAACATTGCCCCACTTAAATAATAAAGTTAAGTCCTTATAGTATCATGCATAAAGGAAGACTTCTCTCGACTTGAATCTTCTTTTAGTGTAGTTATCTCAAAGTCTAAATGAATAAAAGGTGTCTTAAGTGATTGAACCATTATCCCTTGTATTAAAATCGAAAATACCACACATATGACCTAATCCAAATTTTTTTTTTTTGAAATTCTCTAAAATTCTTTTAGCATTTACATGACCATGTGCTACATCCTAGATTTTTATAAAAACTTTCAAAAGTCAACCCTTAAACTTTTTCTAGGAACGACACCACTCCCGATGTTTATATAGGTGAGAATCCTATAAAGCTCCGAATAAATTGATCATATTCTATAGCTTAAACCTTATTAAGAGTTTATAACTCATCCTTCAAAATTTTATTAGTAGTAGATAACTTGGAATGATAATATAAATAAAATATTTTAGTGCTTCCATAGCCACTTATGTGGCTATTAGTAACTTATTTGTACCTATTAAATTTTTAACTAGTAGGAATACTAGAGAAAAGTCAAGTTTCCATCATTGGTGAGACTCTAGGAGAAGGGTCTTAAACCCATTCTAATTGAAGTTTTCTTTGTAAACATATTGGCCTAGTTATTGCTTGTTCTTATAGGTAAGATTGTAATAATTCTTTCAAGAATTAATTGTTATTGTAATAATTTCTTCAAGAATTAATTGTTTGACATATTCATGTCTCAAGCTTAGATGTCTAGATTTCTCATTATATATCTTGTTGAAAGCCTTAGAAATAGTAGCTTTACTATCACGAGTGTGAAGAAATGGCCAGCATCAATTGTGACCACAACTTTATTTCTAGTAATAAGTTCCTTAGCCATTTTGATTCTTTTCATGCAACTGCTAGTGCTACAAACTCAAATTTCATAGTGGAATGATTTATACACATCCATTTCTTAGAAGCTCACGAAATAGCTCCTTTAAGCATAAATGCCCAACCGGACGTACACTTGTTGTCACTAACACATGTTATCTAACTAACATTAGTATATCCCTCCAATGCTAATGAATAACCCCTATAGGTCGATCCTAAACTCAAGGTTCTTTTAAGATATTCGAGGACTCTAGAAATTGCTTTTCAATGATCAACACCAGGATTACAAATGTACCTTGAAAGCTTGCAAACTACAAAGGAAATGTCTAGCCTAATGTAATTCATGGCATATATTAAGCTATCAATTACACTAGTATACTCAACTTGAGCAATTGCTCTTTCAAAATTTTTCATTAACTTATGTGAACTTTTATATGAGGTGCTTACCTTTTTAATTCCTAAATGTTGATTCTTCTTTATGATTTCTCAACGTAATAGGATCGACACAAAGCGTAACTCCTATTTTTTTTTTATTTTGATTCCCAAGATAGTATCTACCTCTCCAAGATATTTCATCTTAAACTCGTGAGGATAAGTTTTTATTTAATTCACACCATCAATATTTGTCCCAAGTATAAGTACATCATCAACATATAAGAATACAATGACACCATATTTTTTTGTAAATTTAAAATAAATATACTTATCCGTATTATTATGTTTAAAACCATGAGATAATATGACATAATTAATTTTTTCAAGCCATTGTTTTGGTGCTTGTTTCAACTTCGTATAATAATTTAACCAACTTGCATACTTTTTTTTTTTTTTCATTTTCAAGTAATACAAACCTTTCGGGTTGTTCCATATATACTTCTTCATCCAAGTCACCATTTAAGAAAGTCGTCTTAACATCCATTTGATACATAATTAGATTATGAATAGAAGCTAGAGCAAATAGTATCTAATAAATGATATCCTAGCCACTAGTGTATATGTGTCAAAGTAGTCAATACCTTTCTTTTGCCTAAATCCTTTTACCACCAATCTACCCTTAAATGTTTATATTGATCAATCAATATTATTTTTTTTCTATGAAATACATAGTTATAACCTATAGGCTTTGAACTAGGAGGTAAATTCTCTAACACCCAAGTATTATTGGATAATATTGAGTCCATTTTATCATTGATTACTTCCTTTCTAAATGCTATATTTCTTAATGCCATAACTTGTCTATAGGTTTTAGGATCTTCTTTTATACTTAATAAAATTAGCATTTTATTAAATACATATTTTTTATTACCTTTAACTTGGAAGTCAATAGACTGCGAATCAATAAAATCTAAATCTAGGTTCTTTTCTTTTCTAATCCTTTGACTTCTCTTAGGTTCACCGGGAGTATCAAGAGGTTTTTTTTGTCACTTGGATCAATTTGTTTATGTGTGAAATCATTAGCAAATTTATGTTCAAAAAATTCAATATCCCTTGATTCCATTACCACATTTGACTCTAAGTTTAATAATCTATATGCCTTGAAATGTTAAGCATATCATACAAACACACTTTCGAGCTCTTGGTCCTAACTTGACTCTTTTAGGATCCGTATCTCTATAAAAGGCTAGACGTACCCCAAACTTTAAGATAACTTATATTTGGTTTTTTTCCTTTTCATAATTCATATGGTGAGACTTTAAATATCTTAGAAGGTATCCTATTCTACACTTGAAATGCTATTAACAATGCTTCACCTCATAAATTATTAGGTGATTTAGCATTTACAATCATTACATTCACCATATCAATTATTGTTGCATTTTTTTCAGCTAAGCCATTTTGTTATGAGGTATATGGTGTACTCATTTCATGTGTAATTCCAATAACCTCACAAAAAGAAAAAAAATTAGTAGATAAATATTCTCCACCCCTATTACTTTTTAAGACTTTAATCTTATTTTCTATTTGATTTTTAACTTCAAATTTATAACACATAAATATGTCAAATGCTTGATCCTTATGTTTCATTAAATACACTTAAGTATATTTAAAATGAAAATTAATGAAAGTAATAAAATATCTATTTTCTTTTCTAGTTAAAATTCTATTTAATTCATATATATCAGAGTGAATAAGTTCTAATTTTACGAAGATCTTTTAACTAACAAACAAAAACCTTCTTAGTCTTTTTTGCTTGTATACAAATTTCATATTTTTCATTGATAATACTATTACAAGAGATCAAACCATGTTTGACATATATTTAATATAACTAAAATTAACATATGCTAATCTACCATACCATAAATGAGAAGAAGGAGAGTCAATAATATAAGTAGAATCATTCATATTATTAATAATAATGAGTTTAAACATGCCATCATAAAAGTACCCTTTGCCTACAAAGGCACCATTCTTAGAGAATATAATTTTATCGGAATCTAAAATAGCCTTTATTCCTTTCTTACATAACAATTTTATAGAGACAAGATTCTTCTCAATTTTAAGAACAAACAGATCATTGACCAGCATTAATTTCTT